AAGGAAAGATTCTTTATCTTTTGGTTGGAGGTGTGATAGGTGTGAACTACTAGTTGGGGCATGGTGGTAAAAATAATACATTATGGTTCCTTTATCCACAGGAGAAGCTGTCTGCAGCTCATGTGACAGAGAAGACTGCAACAGAGCAGATGATAGAATTATTTGAAAAGCAGAAGATTGCCAGTGGATCAAATACATCAGAATGAGTTCTTTTTAAGTATCAGTTATTAAGTAGGTTTAACTGAAGTAACAGTGAAAGCTTGAAAACATTACTGTAAGAGTAAGGAAAGTGACAAAATAAAAGAAAATAGAGAGATAAAAAATATAAAAGAATATTTTCTTGATTCAAGACATTAGGATTGATATTTATAAAAATAGTGTACATTTCTTAGATACAACAAATTTTACATACAACAAAACAGAAATTTTGATTTGCTAATCATGTATCTTCTGCATTATTGAACTTGATATTACAAACTGTAAAGTGTATATATATGTATGAATTTTGTAAATAAATGTTTTGTGAATTTGAGGTATTTATTTATCATATGCATTTTAAAGAATTATATCCCATTGTTGAATATATACAGTATAGAAATTAATCAATACACCACCATTATAAAGATAGGCACATTATATTGGAAAGAGCATATTACATACTTTCCCAACAAGATTATTCTTTGGGATATTGGTTGAACTGCATAAACAAAACAAAAAATATTACCAAAATGTATAATCTACTCAACAGATCCATATTATCTATAGCTTCTGATGACTCTCAAACATGCTTATAAGAAAATATTATAGAAGTTGTCATCTGGCATCAGATACAAAATTGACTTTTTATTCACAAAAATATGCACAGCATGGTGGAAAATGTGAAATTTATAAATAAAGTATATGTTGGTATTGCAAAATCTATTCTGCTCAAATGCAGAATAAAATTACACCTCAGAAAGGAAAGGAATAAATCAATATGAAAGTTGCTCCCTAATCTAGCTAATTTGGAGATCAGAGTGACAGAATATAGCCATAATATCCAAAATAGATACTCACTTCTCAAGATTCTGACATTGACCAAATCAGCAAACAGTTCAGTGAGATAATAAAGGAAGCTGTACTTGAAGTAGGTGGTGAAAACAACAAGCAAAGCTCCAATAAACTCGGTGAGAATCAAACAGCTTGTGCAAAGATGTAAGGGAAAATGGAATCAGCAGAACTAGGATTATAAGTAAAAAGAAAAATGAGGATGTATGCAAATTCAGCATTTAAAAAAATAAACGTAACAGTGATTTCAGGAACCAGCATTAAAACCGCCAAAAGGAAACTTGGAATAGGGAAAAATCAAATGTAAGCAATAAAGAAACTAGATAGTGGAGTGACATCTAGCAAAAAAGAAATCATTAAAGTAGTGGAAAACTTTTACAGTAATTTATACAGCTAAGATGAACATCCACAGACAGAAGTACAAACAATAATTGGAGAGGCACTTACTTCATGTGGAGGAAATAAAAACAATGCATAAGAGCAAGAAGAGGGAAAATACCAGAAGTTAGCATAAGTAGAGACTTTACGTTAGGTGTGGGAGGTATTGCAACAGTGATACTAGCCAGTCTTTTTAACAAATGCCATAACAATGGTTACCCCCTTCATCCCTACTTTGCACCCAGCCCTCGCCACAACTAATTTTGCATTTTCTATTCTTCTCCCCCTTCCCTTTCCTTCTCTTCTTCATCATTCCCTTCTTCTGTCCACTTCCTAAGGTGTGAGAGCCGTGTTGAAAGAATGAAAGACTGGCTTTGTGTTAGTCATGAACGGCCTCTGGAAGCCGTAGGCACGGTATTCCCTTAGTTAATTGCCGAGCTCTTACATTGAGGGGTAGACTGTATCCTCATCCCATCTATTTCAGGCTCGCCATGGCCAATAATGAAGATATTTTACCCTTATTAGGGACATTAAGGCTTGCCCCTTGATCAACTAGCCTGTTTAAAATTGATTTCAATGGTTTCTCGACCCCTGCCTCTCCTTTGACAGCGGCTGCGACTGATATTAGTATCCCCTCGATGTTTGCGGTCATCCCTATGCATTCCGAATTATCCACCCAGGTCATCACTCATCCTTCAGAATACATCCCTTCTCTCTCACAACATCCTCCACTCTATCCACTACTACACATTCTTCTTCGTTGTCTACCCCCCCCCCCTCCTTATTGAGACTCATCATCCTTATTCTCCCTCTCCCAAAAGTACGACCACCCTCCATACCACCCGATCTTCTTCCCACTCACGTCCTCCTACTGCTTCCACCTCTACAAACCTATACAAACTTGTACCGCAACTGTTTCCGTCTCTCCAACTGATGGTCCTGTTTGCGACAAACTGTGAAAACGACTTGCTCGTATGCCTCTCGATTATGATGCAGTGGCGGTCCAATCTAAACTATGTTTAACGTAAGCCCTACACCAATATTGCCAAGGTTAACTTCTGTAGACATGACCTCCCCCATGAAGTTTACATTGGTGGAGTGTCCTGCCTTGTCCGACCATACTGACCCCTTCCCCGTCAATGTCAGAAATGTTGGCGTTTAGGCGACCCAACCAAACACTGTCGCTCCAAAGCTCGTTGCCCTCTGTGTGCCCAACCTGGTCATGGCCGTTCAATTGCTCTGCTCAATTCACGTACGTGTACCAATTGTGGTGGCTCCCATAATGTACTTTGTAGGAGCTGATCTGCCTACAATCTGAGGTAGCAGTTCTCAAATTCAAACAAGGCCTCACACTACGTGAGACCAGATAAGAAGCACGCCGACGAGGTTTTCCTCTTTCTACCTATCCCAAAACTGTACTTCGCTCCGCTCCCTTCCCATCTTCTCAAGGACTTTCAGCATCTCCTCCAGTATCTCTTCCCTTTACCTACCTCTCTCCCCCAATCAAATTCCTTTTCCAGTCTAAATCCAGATACTCCAATCTCTATCACTTGCCCGGAGCCTACGTCTCCCCTCCTTCTCACTCTACCTGTCGCACCAGACAATCTAAACGTTCCACTCTATCTTCATCTACCACATCTACCTTCATCTTCCTCTGCCCCTCTGTGATATTCATAGGAACATCTGCCGATGACCTGACCCTCAGCTGCAGAGAGAGGTCAGCTTGGAGGCCTGGAAGCCGCCGCAGGTGGCCACGCCCACGCCCACGCCGCTGTAGCTCCGCCCCTGCTTCCGGTGGTCGCCGATACTTATTCTCCAAGGACGACCCTGTCAGACCAGAGTGTGCCGTAGGGCGGTCAAGGTCACAACAGCCCGCTGGGCTGGTCTGCCGTTGAGGTGGGCTAGCCGGTGACCCCAAGTGACCAGCCCATAACTCAAGCCCTGTCATCGTTGTGTTTATTCTCTGTGTGCTGAAATTTATAGAATAAAAGAGTTTTAAGCCACCAAGCTTTTACTACCCTGTCACCAATGTTTAGAGGTCCCTTTTAATAACTCTTACACCCTCGGACATCTATTCCCTCTTCTCCAACACATAAGAAACCCTTTGTTTCTCAGACCTCCCCACCTAACTCCCCTCCAGAAACTCTTGAAGACATCCAAAAGTTCATAAACATGACCCAAGAGAATGGTCCACTCTCTCATCCACTCTCTAATCCCCTTATTCGCTCAACATTCAAAGTATCTGCCGATATCCACCCTTCTACTCCTCAAGCCCCCCCTACACCTCCTCTTACCACTCACCCAACCCCCCCCCCCACACACACACTCAAAAGGGGATAAAAATCTAAAGAATTACCGGTCCATGAGCCTCCCATCAGCTATCTACAAACTGTTCATGAAAGTCATCACAACTTGCATTTCCAACACTCTAGATTCTAGCCAACCTAGCGAAAAGACAGGCTTCTGCAGTAAATATTCATTAATAGACAGCATTCATTAATTCAGTTAAGAGATAAAATAAGCAAATATGGGAAACTCCTGTATATGGCATTCATCGATTATGAAAGGCTCTGACTGGGATATAACTAACACAAGGAAGCCAAGGGAAAAAATAGGAGAGGCCTACTTCCTGCAGTGAAATGGTACAGGCTGATGATGATGACATGTATATATATATATATATATATATATATATATATATATATATATATATATATATATATATATATATATATATATATAAAAGTAAATAAATATATATATATAAAATATAAATATATATAAATAAATAAATAAATATATATATATATATATATATATTATATATATATATATATACATATATATATATATTTATTTATATATATTTATATTTTATATACATATATATATTTATTTATATTATTTATGTATATATATATATATATATATATATATATATATATATATATATGTATATATATGTGTGTGTGTGTGTGTGTGTGTGTGTGTGTGTGTGTGTGTGTGTGTGTGTGTGTGTGTGTGTGTGTGTGTGTGTGTGTGTATATATATATATATATATATATATATATATATATATATACATACATATATGTGTGTGTGTGTGTGTGTGTGTGTGTGTGTGTGTGTGTGTGTGTGTGTGTGTGTGTGTGTGTGTGTGTGTGTGTGTGTGTGTGTGTGGTGCTTCCTTTGGACGTCACAAAAATCGAGAGAACTATGGTAACCAACGATGAAATCTGGAAGTTACCTATCAAAATTGCACATAGTTCACAGAATTTGGATGTATACATGATATGCTATGAAAAGAAAATATAAATTAGATCAAGAATAAATCCTAACAATATATCAGACACCTTGCCCTTTCGAGGCGTTTGAAAATCGCGCCATAAAATAAAAATTCCCGAACTCCAGACAGAGGACACATTCCATTTTACCTATCAACCAGATTTACGCCTTATATTCCCAAACATATTAAACAACTGACCTTAATATTAAAGAACGAATTAATGGGGAAAAAATAAACCAGGGAGAGGAGATAAAGTGAGACATATTTGCCGTCACTTTCCTTTGCTCCCCTTCTCCCCGTCGTTCACAAGTGACGAAATCAACACAACCTCGGTGGTAGGCCTCGCTATTTGGGATTTATGTCTGCCTTTAAGGGGGCGATCGTACCTCATTCTGGTGTGAGAGTGTGCTTAAGGAATCCCTTTTATCTCCGTGTGTGATTTGGAAGCGAGAAATGAAGTGGCATGAGTGGGAAAAAGGGAGTGAGTGAGGCCGCCTCTATGACAGCTGGTTATATGCTCTGGGGACTATAACGGGTACGAACACGTGGAGGTTTTTTTGCACAGACACTGGAAGAATTTTTGGTCTCAGGGAACGTGGTGAAGGCGGCAGAAGTGTGCCAAGCGTGGATTTAGGAGGTGGAGAGTAGGGATCCAAGTGAGGAGGCAGCGAAGGAGGTCAGCGGCCCTCGAGCGGTGGGACTCGGGGCCAGGGAGGGCACGGGTGGCACGGCGCCGATGCCCTTCTTTATACCCGAAGGGCGTGTGGTTAAGTGCCACGCGGTGCCGCTCGAAAGCCCAGGATAAGCCAGGGAGATAGGTGCCTGAAAAATATTCGGTCTATACGTTTCTTTTGTCTTTGGTTGGCCACTTTCATTTTGCTGTTAGGGGGGACCTGCCTGTAGGTATGTGATTTTCGATTTCATTATCATCAGCAACGGTAATGAAGTAAATTCTGTCATTTTGTTAACAGAATTGCGACCATATGTAGCAGTATTGTGAAATAGGTCAGTCTACACCAGACTGGAATCATAGCAGCATGCATTAGCTTTCTCTTCTGCATTCTCCCTTGCAATCTAAAGGCATGCACTAAAACCCTGACCACTGACCAGGCTTGGATAATTTTAGTTTGCATCTTCTCCTTTGTCAAACTTAACCAAATATTCAAAGGTTTTTATGTATCAATGGGATGGATAGGACCAAATAGTGTGCAGATGAAAATAGTAACAGATATAGTTGATTTTGCACATAAATGGTTAGTGACAGTCAGTCAGTTGGTCAGTGTTTTCCAGAAAACAGCAACCAACCTCCAAAGGACTGATTATAGAATTTTTGAACATTTATTCATTTAAAATCCCCTGCTATTATACTAGTACTATTCCAAGAGTCTGATAAGAAAGCATTTAGAAAGGTCTCTTCCCAGTATAAAAAAATGCTGGCCGTTTTCACCCAGCATATTGACACCGTCAGTGCTGGGAAGTTTTAGTGAATAAATGTTCAAAAACTCTCCGTAACAGTCAGTCAGTTGGTCAGTGTTTTCCAGAAAACACTGACTTCAGAATTTTTGTGCAAAAATCATAGTATCAGCAAATATTTTGGCCTGCAAATTGTTTTAGGTCCTACACATACCATTGATACATAAAAAACCTTTGAATATTTCGTCAAATTTTACAAAAGAGCTGTAACCCAAGCCTGGTCAGTGGTCACTGGTCAGTGATCAAAACACAATAATCCCATCAAGAAAATGACATAACATATGTTTCCTTTCTTTCTTTCCTCCTTTCGTTCAAGTTTTGAATAGCCATCACCAAAAGGTAACGAACATATAGAGTCTGTTGAGCAATGTTTTATTATGCAGTTCAATGGCAGCACTCAGTTTTACAGAAAATTTGTTTTTTCTTATATATAATGTCATCCTTCAAAATATACAAATTGGTATTTGTTTAGAATACCTTCACATGGCTAATCACGAAGATAGGGGTAATACTGGTTTCCTCTAAACCTCAACTAACCATATATGTAGGAGGTTTGCCACAGAACCCCCATGAAACCTCTACATTCTTGACATCATGTTCCCTTGTGGAGCCATTTGTATGTAATTACTATTAACCACATGCAGCTGGTGGAAATGCTGTGCTCATTTTTTATGTTTTTGTGAAATGTCTCTGCACATAGGTAACTCTGCTAGTGCTTAGCCACAAAGGAGTCAATTATTAGACCTTGTAACCTTACCTAATTTCAACTTTCCTTGAATTGATGGGGAAATCCTATTTTTACTTATACTGTGAATGTTGATAATGTTCTTTTTATTATAGACAGTATAATTACTGTAAAACTTAGTAACAGCAAAATAAGATAAACTGTAAATTATTTTTGTAAATCAAGGAAAAGGGTAAACGGGCAAGATAGGTAGTACTCATAATTGGTCCATTGGTGACTTAGTACAAGTGTAGCTGTCAACATGAAAAAAACAATTAATAAAGTTAACTCACAGTGGGCATGGCATGTACATACATGCCATGCCCATCAGCATTATGTCAATACTCACCATGGGCATGGCTGGGACTGGGTTAATGAAGACCATAGGTATCTCTCCTATAAGATGTTATAATGATTGAATGTGCATTTATACCTTAATATAACAGGCTTTACTAACAGTGCTGCATTATGTTACATAGCTTATCAGTTTGTTAAATATGATGCCACAGGATTAATCAGTACTGATGCCCCAGGGGCATGTGTACCCCAGATTAAAAAAAACATCCACAACTATCAAATGTTAAATGCTCACAGTGCCTTCATTTAACTGATCTAGACAATATTGGTATCAAAGGATTCCTTTTAGACTCTACTATCTGTATTCCTAGAAATTATCCTGTGCCCCCCCCCCCCCTCTAATACTCACAATCTGGGCCCCAATAGTAAGTTAGGGCGTGAATAGTGTCATTGAAATTGAAGGCTAAAATATGAATAATATACTGAGAATTGGTCAATAGATAGGGAAATGCAGGGAGCTGTACTCCCTGCAATCTCCATTTAGGGGGTTGCTACCACCCCAACCTCCACCCTGTACATTAAAGTATATAAGTACAGATTGATCAAGTGTAGGACAGACTTGGCATCAGACATTCCTATATTTCAGTTATACACACTACCCTGCCCTTAACTGCGGGGGTTGGGGGTCAGCAGCCCTCTAGGATGAGGGGCGCATTAGGCAATTATGTGTATATTATTATTACAGTGGTGGAAATTCTATACAGTACAGATGCACTCCGTTACAAAATTTAGTCAACAATCTAAGTTGCCATGACTGGGTATGCCCTTCAGGCACTGTTTATTAATTGTATTTACACCTATGGCTCTCACTTGTTCACCCTTTTCCTTGATCTTTGTAAATGTTTTATTTTATTTTATATGGCAGTTATTATTGTTAATGACTCTGTAATGGTTATAATCTCAACAATAATATTAACAGCATCAGTATTAATAGCATTTGAAAAATTAGATTTTTCCCAAAAGCTCAAGGAAGGTGAGATAGGTGAGATCACATACTTTAAATTGACTCCTTGGTGGCTGTGCACTTGAGCAATCTATATGTAATTATATTTCACAAAACAATGATTCAGTAAACATCATATTTTCCCAGCAGTATTGGGTTAACGTGGGTATAAGACCGAGAGGTGTCTAGGTTGACTAATTATTTTCTGAATTCATACATACAGGCAGTATTCTGTGTTTGAAAAAGGGTAGAAAATTAAAAAGGCACAGTATAACTTGGATACTGGCTTCCTATGTGGAATGGAGATGTGGCTTTTTGTAATTTGTTTCCTTATTCAATAATTAGAGATAGCATTTCAGTAGTATTTTGGGTAGTCTGTTTCATTACATTAGTGAAGGCTAGCATGGTTGCCATTGAAGATAAAGGGTTATACCAAAACCCCTCTATTGTATAAATATACTGAACTGGTAATTATTCTCTCTCTCTCTCTCTCTCTCTCTCTCTCTCTCTCTCTCTCTCTCTCTCTCTCTCTCTCTCTCTCTCTCTCTCTCTCTCTCTCTCTCTCTCTCTCTCTCTCTCCCTCTCTCTCCCTCTCTCTCCCTCTCTCTCTAAACTACTTCCTTATTCAATATTTAGAGATAATATTTCAGTGTTATCTTGGAGAGTCAATTTCATTGCATTATTTAATGCTAATATGGTTCTCATTAAAGATAAAAGATTATGCCAAAACACCTTAGAATAGTATAAATAGGCCTCAACCTGCAGGTCAACCAATCTTGCACATTCTTTTTTTCTCAACATTTCCTCTAACTTCTCTTCAATCCCTTCATCTGTCCACTTCCTAAGTTGTAAGAGTTGAAAGGCTGAGGTTGGCTTTATTTCAGTCCGTGGGAATCCATTGGCATGGTATTCCCTTAGTTAATCGTCTAACCCTCTCTTGTCATGGGGATCCTTGGGGGTAAGGGCTCTTCCATTGCTTCAGGCTCACCATGGCTAACAATCAAGATTTTTTATACTCATTAGGGGAATTAAGGCTTGCCCCTTCATCTAAGTCAAGCTAAATTTGGTTTCTCTGGTTTCCCAACCCCAGTCTCTCCTTTTATCACAGCTCCTACAACTGCTACTAGTACCCCCTCCTCAATACTTGCTGTCAACTTGATCCATTCTGAGTCATCCACCCAGGATAATACAGCCCTTCCTCTCCCAATATCCTCCACTTCATCTCTTCCTCCTATACAGACTTCTCCATTTTCTATCCCCTCCTCCCTTATTACTACTTTTCATCCATATTGTCATTCTTTACTTCACTCCACACCGCTCTCTCTTCCTCCTCCTCTTGTCATTTCTACTACTTGCACCTCTTCTAATCTTTTGAGTACTCTTTTTAGCCTAATTACATGGGATCACATCCCCTTACTCTGAAAATACACTCTGTGTACACTATTGTCTCCAAAACCAAGTTGGTAAAGCAGCCATTCCAATCAATCATGCCTGGTAATAGTTACATCAGATTTCCCAAGCTTGTGCATTATTTTTCTCTCATGCTTGTGCATTAATTTTCTGTGCCCAACCAGGTCATGACCATTCAAATTACTGTACACAATCATTCAGATGTGCCAATTGTGGTGGCTCCCATAATGTATTTTACATGAGCTGCCCTGCCTACAACTTTCACTAACAATTCTCTTCACTCTACCAGTGGCTACCCCTCCCCCTCACTTTACCTGTCACACCAAGCAATATAAATGTTCCACCCCATCTTCTCTTACCACATTCTCTCTTATTCCCACCTTTTCCTCTACTCCTCAGACATCTCCTCTCCCTTTCTCCTTAAGAAAATCTTTGTTTCTCAGATCTCCACAGGAGTTTCCTTCAGAGACTCCAGAGGACATCCAATACTTCCTAAACATGACCCAAGAAAAAACTCCTCTCTCACCCACCCTCCAATCTCTCTACTCCTATTCCTTCAACATTCCTTCTCCACATCTTTCACCACCTGACATTCTTCCTGGTACTTCATCTCCTTCCCCACCATTCGGGGTTAGATCGAGAGACAAATTATAAGCAGAATGTTGCGGGGAGGGGGTTCTTGGAGTTAAGAGATTGGAATTTCTACTACTTTTTCTTTTCATAAGAGACTTCTAAGTATTCCACAATTTTTCAAGAGAATTACATTATTGGGACCCTCAGAAAATAGGAAAAATTTGGTTTAAAAAAAAGGAATCAAATTCCATTAATTTTTTAAGGAGGTATATGGAAGGTGTGTTTATAGTTCAAAGAGCTGGCTTGAATATAGCATTCACTAGTTTTCGTATATTATGTTGTTAGCCTATGGCAAATTTCTAAACTACTTTTCTTTCTTTCTGTTTAATTGAAGGATTGATCATGCTAAGAATTAAAAGATTACCATTACTATTTTCTGATCTTCATAAAATGGTTTCCTTTGCATTTTTTGCAATTCTCAGTCTAATTCTAGACTAAGGGACCTTAATCATTTACTTTTTTAAAGTTTTCCTTTTCTTCACTCAATAGTGCATTTCACAATATCAAACATTTAACAGTACTAAATGTACTTGCAAATTTTACCAAAGGAGCTAAATTGGTATTTATGGTTGTTGCTTGGTATCATGCTTCATGAAATAAAGTAGCCTCTCACTCTAAGCTTTTATATATATGAAGTTATAAGAAAAAAAAAAAATAATAACATTTTATGTAAAAATGGTATGAATGAGAATGAATATCTTCACAATACAAGAATATATTCATTCTCATTCGTACATTTTCAACATTTGTCAACATGAGTATGGTTCAAATATGTTTTAGTTTGTAACCTTGTAATTTTATATTAAAAGAATGATTAAGCAAATCTTTCCAATGTTCATTTATTTTAGGTCATATTTTGCCTTGTTTTGTATGATTTATCACACTGACTTTATAAATAGGTACCAGTATCCTATTTAGATTCTTTAAAATATACATAGATCCTATACAATGAGGAGACAAAATGCTGTAGCTTATGCAAATAATATTTTACTACTTATTGTGCAATGTGTTTGATCTAGTTTTGTTTTTATGTACCAGTTATCTAAAATAATTAAATTGGTTTTAACAGCATCTTCTATGTTCAGTTTTAAGCATAATCATTCATTAAAACAAAAATAAACTTAATTGCAAACAGTGGATAGTGAAAAATGGGCAACACCACTAACAGCCAATCAGATTCTTTGCTGTTACTATATGTAAATTATATGGGAATTGTGACCTTCTGTTTGTGATGTTTGGTATTTTTTTTTTGCTGTGAAGAAATTTTCTCAGAATTGATTCAGAAAATTGAAATGGGATTGACTTTTATTTATAAATTAAGACATAAAATTTATGAAGCGTTAGATTCACATTTGTTTATTTTTAATATATTCATTGTTTTTGTAAGGAATATATTAATTTAGATTTTTTTGTGTGTGAGTGAGTGTGTGAGTAAGTAAGTGAGAGAGATATTAGTATTGTTTCATCCAGTCTTGCACTTACCAATTATTTACTTTTAACCCAATTGGCACGTTTGGCAAGAATACATGCCATGCCCACTATAAAATAAGTTAATATATTGTCCTGGGGGGGGAGGGGGAGACTTTCCCACAAATTCAAGGAATGGGGAAATCATGCGCAGACAACAACTACTCATTGGTTGCTGAGCACAATTTGAGCCATCTGTAACATAATTCACAAAAGCTGCAGGGGACAGTACTTAAATCTATTGTTAGATTTTAGAAATATACCTGAATTGTTAATACAGTTCAGTTATACCTATAAATTATTAAATGATTCAGCTAGAATAGGAGTATTGTGGAATTACATTCAGAAAGGGTACCAAAATCCCCAGAATTATATATTAGGATTTTCATAATATTCAAACAATTACAAATATTCTTATTCTTTTCCAGTGACAGTCACTGCCGCCAAGATGCCTCCTAGGAAGAAACAAGAAGAGACAGACAAGCAGACTCGTATTGCCATCGTCAACAGCGAGAAATGCAAGCCTAAACGATGCCGTCAGGAATGCAAGAAGTCGTGTCCTGTGGTGAGAATGGGTAAACTCTGCATTGAGGTCACCATCAATGACAAGCTAGCATCCATCAGTGAGGAGCTTTGCATTGGATGTGGTATATGTGTGAAGAAGTGCCCATTTGATGCCATTATGATTATCAACTTGCCCAGTAACTTGGAGAAGGAAACAGTCCACCGCTACAACAAGAATTCCTTCAAGCTTCATCGACTTCCTGTTCCACGCCGAGGTGAAGTCCTGGGATTGGTTGGCACAAATGGAATTGGGAAGTCGACAGCACTAAAGATCTTGGCTGGAAAACTGAAGCCCAATCTAGGTCGCTTTGCAGATCCACCAGATTGGACTGATATTCTTACCTACTTCCGTGGTAATGAACTGCAGAATTACTTCACTCGCATCTTGGAAGATGATTTAAAAGCCATCATCAAGCCTCAGTATGTAGATCAGATTCCCAAGGCTGTCAAAGGCTCTGTCAAAGATCTGCTTAACAAAAAGAGTGATATTGGTAACTTGGATGAGATGCTCACTGTCCTGGATCTGCGGAGCGTCTTAGTGCGCAACATAGAAGATTTGTCTGGAGGAGAACTTCAGAGGTTTGCAATAGCAATGGTGTGCATTCAGAGAGCTAATATTTATATGTTTGATGAGCCATCCTCATATCTTGACGTCAAGCAGCGTTTGAACGCCTCGCGTGCCATCCGCTCCATGGTAAAAGAGGATAACTATGTGGTGGTGGTGGAGCATGACTTGGCTGTGTTAGATTATCTTTCTGATTTCATCTGTTGTTTGTATGGCCAGCCAGGTGCATATGGAGTGGTCACTGTACCGTTCTCAGTGAGGGAGGGTATCAATGTTTTCCTTGATGGCTTTGTTCCAACAGAAAATCTTAGGTTCAGAGAGGAGTCTCTCACCTTCAAAGTATCTGATCAGCTGAGTGAAGAAGAAATCAAGAGAATGTGTCGCTTAAAGTACCCCAAAATGACTAAGAAAATGGGTGACTTCCATCTTACAATAGATGCTGGCAACTTCACAGATTCAGAAATTATGGTGCTGCTTGGGGAAAATGGAACTGGAAAAACTACATTCATCCGAATGCTTGCAGGACGATTGGAACCTGATGAAGGCAAGTCTGATTTACCAGAGCTGCACATATCCTACAAGCCACAGAAGATCAGTCCAAAAAGTCAGTCTACTGTGCGGCAGCTGCTTCATGACAAGATCAGAGATGCATATATTCTCCCTCAGTTTGTTACTGATGTAATGAAGCCTATGAAGATTGAAGAGCTCTTTGATCAAGAAGTCCAGCATCTTTCTGGAGGAGAATTGCAACGTGTGGCATTGACTTTGTGTCTAGGTGTTCCTGCAGCTGTTTATCTTATTGATGAACCATCTGCTTACTTAGACTCAGAACAGCGTTTAGCTGCTGCTAAGGTCATAAAGCGCTTCATTATGCATGCCAAGAAGACTGCCTTTGTTGTAGAGCACGATTTCATTATGGCTACATACCTTGCAGACAGAGTCATTGTCTTTGAGGGTCAGCCATCAGTCAGGACATTGGCCAATGCACCCCAGACACTGGTGTCTGGAATGAACAAGTTCTTGGAGATGTTAGGAATTACTTTTAGACGTGATCCTAACAACTTTAGGCCTCGCATCAACAAGGATAGTAGCCAGAAAGATGTTGAACAGAAGAACTCTGGCAATTACTTCTTCCTTGATGTTGAAGGCAAAGGGGACTCAAAGAATGATAAAAAGCACTGAAATTTGATATCATTGGCGCTTATAATTTTATTAGAAATGCAGCTCTGGCTCCAAGCCACATACCATGAGCCAAGCAGTGCTCTCATATTCAGACATGGTGGATATAGATGTAGGGGCACAACTATCAGCAACCTCCCCATCATTCAGGCAAGAGCAACAACAACTGAAGGGAGTACTACTGCAGCTGCATTTGTCTGCTATTAGATCTGTCAATATTGACTGTAAAGTTCCATCTGTATTATTTTTTTATGGTGGAATTTCCTGCCCTGAGTGATTAAAAATATTTTAGATTGTATACCCTGCAACAGCAGTAAAAGATTGTTCCATCCATTTTGATTCATGTAAAGGATTGTAACAGATTGCATTAATGCAGCAGTAGGGAGAATGAACAGCAGTACATCAGTACCTCTTGCCAAACTCTCATACATGACATTATGTACACTGTTCTGTCATGAAACCAATACAAATGAATCAACATGTCTTTAATGTTGATATTATAACTTGTATGTTTATTTTTACAATGTAATAGTAAATGAATTTAGATGGATGATTGTTTTCCCTGTAATGCATACTCTTTAATTGTTGGAGCCTGAAAGGTTGTCTGCACCATCCAATGACATAGCTGTTTGCTATATTTCCATAATGAGAATTTCAAGCAGACTAAGGGCTGCATCTGCTCATATCCAAACATTGTTATTTTTAAGCGGTCCAAATTATGTTTATATTATATTATGAGGTCAATATTGAAATGGCAGTGATGGTATATTTGTTTCCTTTAGCCTTCCAAACTTCATGATTTGACAGTCAAGAAATTGATATATATTTAGAAAAAAAAATCTTTTAGTTTATTGGCTAACTGAGTGAAACTATAAATTACACACAGCAGTGTCATGTAAGTACCCAGATGCTGAACATATTTAATTGGAAATACAGTAGAAATTGAGTCATTGAATGTATAATTAAATTAATTTTTTGAAATAGCTCAAGTGTGTAGTATGATTAAAAAAAAAAAAACAGATCTTGAGGGCTATTCTGTTGTAAACGCCACTAACAACCTTAAATGTTCCCCCCCAATCCCTTGCCCGTTGTTGTCGTGGGGGGGCTTAGGAGGTGGAGACTGGGACCCAATGATGGGGAACTCCCCAACCTTGGGACTCAGCCCTCGACTCAACTAATTGTGCATGGTCTTTTTTTCCCTTCCCACTTTTGTTTCTGTCCCTTCACCAAACCCTTCTGCTATCCACCTCCTAAGGTGTGAGAGCCGTGCTGAAAGGATGAAAGGCTGACTTTGTGCCAGTCCTGAACGGCCTGAGGGAACCATGGGCACGGTATTCCCCTGATTTAGTTATCTAGCCCTTACCCCTCAAGGGGACCCTGAGGGGTGGACTACTTTTATCCCCAACATAATCCAGGCTTCCCATGGCCAGTAATGAAAATATATCCCCACTGCTCATTCTAACACTTCTCCTAAACCCACCCCTCCTACATCTAACCCCCCCACTAACCCCACCTACCTTCCCCAGTCAAACTCTTTTGCCATCCTAAATCCAGAAACTCCAATCTCTACTACAGATACTCCAATCACCACTACAACCCCAACACCTTCCCCTCTCCCTCCTCGCACTCCCCGTAACAGACAGAACAAACGTTCCACCCCCTCTTCCCCTACCACACAATCACCTCCACCATCCTTTGCCCCTACTCTTGAGACACCAGTCCTCTCTTCCCCCCCTCACAAGAAATCCTTTATCCCCCACAACTCCCCAACCAACTCCTCAGAAGAAACTATTGAAAATATTCAAGATTACTTAATGCAAACTGACACTCAACCTACAACCCCTGCTCCTTCCACACTCCAAGTAACTGCTGATATCCATCCCCCTCCTAACGATATCCCCCCTACACCCTATCCTCCCACCCCCTCCCAACACAGCCCATCCCCCCCCCGACCCCGACCCCAACCCAGCCCACATTAACCCTCCCACCATCCCCTCTATCCCTTCCACTCCCTCCTGGATACACACGTGAATCCCTTATGTCACAAGTATCCCCTTCCTCAGACCCTCCATCTCCTAATACCCCTCCTGATAGAACACCAACTCCCACACCTCTCCCATCTCAAACCTCTCAGTCCTTATCCCACCCTCTAGCTGCTTCCCCCTCAAAGTCTCCAACACGTACTGCAATCTATATCACTAAATCAACGAAAGTATAACTATCCTTCATTGGAATATTCGCGGTTTCCGCTCCCACAGACCTGACCTTCGTCATATCCTTTCCTCTTATAACCCATCTATTGTATGCCTTCAAGAAACCTTTCTTACACATCCTCCAATACCAATCCCCAATTATCATTTTGTCTCTTCCCCACATTCCCTTTATGTCTCGTCCATACTTATCAATCAGAAAACACCTTATGTCACACCACCCTTTCAAACCAATGTCCCTTGTACAGTTATTCGTATCTTCCTTCATCGTTGGATCACAGTGATTTCAGTCTACTTCTCCCCTTCCCACCCCATTGACTTTGTTGCTTTTGAAAATCTAATTTCCCAACTTCAACCACCTTTCCTCATAGTAGGCGACTTTAACTGCCGCCACACTCTTTGGGGTGATTCTATTACCAACTCCCGAGGCCGATCTCTAGAGCGCTTCCTCTCCACAGCTGACCTTACTATTCTAAATTCAGATCGCCCCACACACTTTGATACACGCACGCAATCTTTTTCATGCATTGACCTCTCTCTATGCTCCCCTTCTCTTCATATAGATTTCCACTGGTCAGTCTTAGACCACTTTCCCTATAGTGACCACTTTCCAGTTCTCCTTTCTCCTACTTCATACGTACCACTTCCTAACTCCCCACGCTGGTGCTTTGATAGAGCCGACTGGCATACTTTCACTTCACTCTCTGCTATTCATACCCCTCCATCCTCCCTCACCTCCATTTCAGAAATGATACAATGTTTCACAAGTACAGTCTTAAGAGCTGCACATACAGCTATCCCTCGAACCTCAAGACCATATACCTCTAAATGTGTTCCATGGTGGAATTCTGATTGCACTAAAGTACTTCGCTTAAAACGTGCAGCCTGGAACAGTTACCGCTACAAGAGAGGTACTCCAAATCAACTATCAGCCCTTATCTCCTTTAAAAGAGCATCTGCCTGTCTTCGTCGTACAATCCGGAATAGTAAAACAAATAGCTGGCGAAATTGTGTTTCATCAATTACATCCTCTACATCTATCTCAAATGTATGGTGACGAATCCATAAACTATCAGGCAAACATCCCCCCCATCCTGCCCCCGTCCTCCATATTCAAGATACCCTCATTTCTGATCCTCTCCAAGTCGCTAATGAACTGGGTGATTATTTCAGCCAGGTCAGTAGTGGCTCTCACCTTTCTCCACACTTCTCTTCTATCAAGACCACCAGAGAACGTAACCCCATTACCTTCACCCCATCCTTCGCTGAGTCCTATAATGCCCCATTTTCTTCCTCTGAACTCATTACTGCCCTACAATCGTGCCGCAACACTCATGAAGGCCCTGACGGTATTCACTACCGTATGCTCCGGCAACTCCCATCTTCCTCCTTATCCTTCCTATTAAAAATTTACAACCACATATGGACAACAGGAAATTTTCCTTCTAATTGGCGAGAAGCTCTTATCCTTCCCTTCCTGAAACCCAATAAATCGGGTACCCTCCCTCAAGACTATCGCCCCATCGCACTAACTAGCTGCTTGTGCAAACTATTAGAGCGAATGGTGAACTTCCGCTTAATGTGGTATCTTGAATCTCACAATCTTCTCTCTCCTTCCCAATTCGGGTTTCGCCGTGCCAGAAGCACAGCTGACCCCCTTGCTCATTTTGAGACATATATTACATCCGCATTTGCACGCCATGAATCCGTACTAGCTATATTTTTTGATCTAGAAAAAGCATATGATACGACATGGCGGTACCATATTCTCCAACAATTGTCATCTCTAGGCATACGTGGAAACATGGGTGTCTTCATAAAGTCTTTCCTCTCCCAACGCACTTTTCAGGTCAAAATTGCTTCTGCCACATCATCTTTCTTTCCTCAAATCGAAGGTGTCCCACAAGGCAGTGTGCTCAGTACCACTTTATTCCTTCTAGCTGTTAATGATATTGTCTCAGTTTTACCACCAGGAGCCCGGTCATCACTATATGTTGATGATTTAACCATCTATGCATCTGGCACATCCATACCAAATATCTACCAATTTCTTCAATCTGCAATCTCATCAGTATCTTCCTGGGCCACAAACCATGGCTTCCGCTTTTCTATCTCTAAATCTTTCTCCATCCTTTTCTCTCGCTCACGTGTAAGTCTCCTACCCCCACTCTTCCTATATGGCACTCCACTCCAATGCCGTTCCTCTGGCAAATTCCTAGGCGTCATTTTTGACTCCAAACTGACCTGGCGAGACCATATTCTACACATTAAAGAAAAAGCTCTCCGCCGCCTTCGAATTTTAAAAACTCTATCCCATATATCATGGGGCTCAGATCGCAAAACTCTTCTTCATCTTCATGTTACTTTGATCCTCTCCACTCTTGATTATGGATGCCATATCTACTCCTCTGCCTCAACTTCTCTCCTTGCCCATCTTGACACAATCCATCACTGTGGTCTTCGCTTAGCACTAGGCGCCTTCCGCTCCTCTCCAGTTGAGAGCCTGTATACTGAATCAGGCATACCATCTCTATCTCGACGTCGTGCCCTGCTCTCACTCCGATGTTATGTTCGTTTCCACCAACTTCCCCTCACTAAACTAACTATCCCACAATCCCTACTTCCTACCTTAGCTTCATCTCCACGCTTACCTACTCCTTTCTCCACTCGCATGGATACCCTCCTCTCCCATTCCCCTTTCCCCCATCTCCAACCTCTCCCGTTCTCTGTCCATTCCGTCCCTCCATGGCTTATACCTCACCCCCATATTTGCTCTTCTGTTTTCCCCGACCCACCAAAATCAAATATTCCTCCTACTGTCCTCATCCATTTCCTTGACCATGTCTCCACCCATTCCTCTAGTATACACGCATATACTGATGGCTCCAAATCCACCTCTGGTGCTGGTTTTGCAGTAATATTCCCAACTCGTACTTTCAAATACTCCCTTCCTCCTGAATCCAGTGTCCTTACTACTGAACTGTATGCACTCCTTTTTGCCCTAAAACACATATACTCACTCTCCTCTTCCTCTTTTACATTTTTTACTGACTCCCGTAGCTCATTAACTCTCATAAAGTCAATACACAGCACCAACCCTCTTGTTTGTAAGATCCAGAACTGGTTGTTCTACCTGTCCACACGCCATAAAACAATCAAATTTTGCTGGGTGCCCAGCCATGTTGGAATCCCCGGCAATGAACAGGCAGATACACTAGCACGCCACGCTGCTATGTCCACATCATACCAACCACGCTTCTCACGTATCCCAGCCACGGATTATTACCCACACTTTAAGACCTTCTTGTATAAACGATGGCAATCTTTTTGGTCAAGCCTCCACACTATTAAATTACATTCTGTAAAACTATCAATCTCCTCCTGGTCAGCTCCATTTCATCGGAACAGACGTTGGGAGACTGCTCTCGCCCGCTTACGCATTGGCCACACCCGTCTAACACACTCCTATCTGATGTCACAATCTGATCCACCCCTATGTTCCTTATGTAATGTTCCCCTTTCAATCGTACACATCCTATTGTCGTGCCCACGTTTT